CACAAAATGAGAACAAAAACTCTAAGAAATTAGTGTTATTTAAACAATGAGTAGGATTTATAAAGTTGGAAAAATGTCCCCTAATTTTGTGCTTTTTTTTCTAAAAAGTACTTTTCAATGTATGGGTTAGACAAGTATACACAGTATTGTGTATTTTTCCTAAAAATCAAGTAGACATTTTAAATTATGAGTAAGTGCAATTCATAAAAATAGCTAGACTCAAACTATAATAGATTAAAGGAGACAGTTCGGAACACGTTGAATGGAGGGTTAAATGCGTGTGGAACAGCATATACATGAAGACTTGGGTATTAGAGAAGAGTGGTTGAAGAGTCTGGGTTTTAGATAATAGAGGAAACTCAAAAATGTAGAAATGTTAGTATGGCTTCAAATTTAATTAATTCTTAATTATTATTACACATTGAAAAACAGATATTAATTGTATAGACCAACACCCATTCTCCTTTAGAAAACTGCGGATGGGTTTTAGGGGTAGATTTACAAGCAAAACAGTGATGAAAGCATAATTTATTCAACATAAATATTTTTCCCAACAGTAATGGCTAAAAAAATAACCAATATTTCCACTTAATTCTGAGGAGATAAACAAGATATTTTCAGAAGTTTCTAGAAAAGAAAGATTTTTTAATTGTATTTTATGCCATTGCACTCTAATTTTGGCATAATACACAAGTCATTCTTTTGCCTCTCCATGGCACTGGTTGAGTGAACATGGAGAATTGACATTCAGCTGTTTTGTGAAGGAGAACACTGTTGGAATGAATGATACTCATACTATGAATTACAAAACAATCTGACACCATTGAATTGGTGACTTGACTATACTTTGATGCTAATCTAGCTCTAGAACTCAATTTATATTAGTCAAATAATCATCTTTATTGTTTAAGAATATCTGACTTGGCTTTGGGCCCAGGTTGTCAGTATGCTTATGATTATCTGTAAAGTAGTGTACTTGAGACAATTGAGTTGAATAGCTCAAGGAATCTAAGAACATCAGAAAGTTTTCTACAGAGATAGTAAAACAACTGAAGTTATTTACAGAAGGAATTAACACAGTGATATGGGGGTAAAAATGAAGGAGAAGCATAAAATTTGGAAAAAGGACATGAAATTACAGTAGACTCTTCATAGATGACCACTTCCTTACATTAACTGCCTCATAAAGTTGACCTAATTTTCATAGTCTGGACCAAAAACCACATGTGCTATAGCCTAGTTCCTTATGTTGACCACCTCTGTATGTTGAACCTTTTGTTACACTTCCCTGGGTGGCCAGTTATAGAGGTTCTACTATAATTTTACTATTCTATCTACCTTGATGTCAAAGAAATGAGTGGATTTTGTTTTTAATTTTGGCAATCACAATTTATTCCCCCTGAGTCTAGACACCCTCAATGCAGGTACATGTCCACAAACCTACCTTATGAGAGATGTAGGTTTACCACTACTTTTTGGAATTTCAGATCTAGACAGAGTTACATATACACACTATATGGTGAGTATAGACTTGTCACCTCTGGTATATTGTAGAAGACATTACTTTTCATTAAATATTTCTTTTTTTTCTCATTTTTTTCATCCTTCTTTTGTTTGTTTTCATTGTCAAAACAAAATTTGCACCAAAGTTAAACAGCCCAGGAAGGCTTTCTTCCAGGTCACTACAGTAGGGGAGAGAAACTGGAACTCAGTCTGAGCTTAACTACACTGAAGCTAAAGCTTAGAAAGTTTTTAAGACCTGGGGTAGGCAGATGTTAGGTCATCAGTGTTTTCATTTAATTAGCTTCACCTAAAGAAAAAGTAAACTTTCTTCTATACAATTGTAACTAGACAACTATCATGAAACAAGATATTCTCTATCATAAGTACAATATTATGGTTAGTGCTGGAATTCCTAGCCAGAGCAATCAGACATGGGAAGGATAGCAGGGGCGTACAGATGAGGACAGACAAGGTCAATTTATCACTTTTTTCTGGTGATATGATCTTGTACCTAGAAAACTCCAAGGACTGAACCCAGAGACTCCTGGAATTGATAAATAAATACAGAAATGTTTCAGGATATAAAATCAACTTGCACAAATTGGTAGCTTTTATAAGATGCCAACAACAGTCAAGCTGAGAATTAAGTCATAGACACAATAATCCTTCACAGTGACATCAAAAAAACAAAATACTTTGAAATATTTTCAAAAAAGGAGATGAAAAATCTCTGTAGAAAGAACTATGAAACACTCGGAAAAGAAATTGCAGATGATGTTAATGGATGGAAAACCAAATGTTCATGGATGGGCGGAATCAACATTGTTAAAATGTCTATACCACGTAAAGTGATTTACAGATTCAATGCAATCCCCACTAAAATACCAAGATCATATCTGTCAGATCTCTGCAAAATTGTTCTATACTTTGTATAGAATCAGAAAGACCCTGAAGAGTGAATGTAATCCTACAAAATAAAATTGAATTTAGAGACATTGCATTATCAGACTTCAGGATACAGAATATATTACAAGTCTATCATGATCAACACAGCATAGTATTGACATAGTATGACATAGTATGATAGTATTGACACAGCATAGTATAAAAATGGAGACATAGACCTGTGGAACAGAACAGAGAATCTAGAGATGAAACCATCCTCATATTGCCTTGGATCTTTGATAGAACAAAGAAAAGCCTACACTGGGGAAAAGAATCCATCTTCAATAAATGGTATTGGGAGAACTGAGTAGCATATGTAAAGGAATGACAGAAGATGTTCGCCTACATTAGGCCGCTGACCTCTGAGATTAGGAGATAGATTCACTATTTTCCTTGATGTTCACATGTCAAAGGGATGGCTCACTGGTTCTATCTAAAAAATCAGTCCTTGAATGGCTGTAAGATTGGCAAGAGCTTTTAAAGAGATTTACATTTTGGCTCGGCGCCTGTGGCTCAAGCGGCTAAGGCGCCAGCCACATACACTTAAGGTGGCGGGTTCGAATCCCCAACCCGGGCCCGCCAAACAACAATGATGGCTGCAACCAAAAAATGGCCAGGCATTGTGGCAGGTGCCTGTAGTCCCA